GGGGGCGTGGCTCCAGCCCAGGAGCGGGAGGGGGCGTGGCTCCAGCCCAGGAGCGGGAGGGGGCGTGGCTCCAGCCCAGGAGCGGGAGGGGGCGTGGCTCCAGCCCAGGAGCGGGCAGAGTGACCGGCTTCCCGTCCCTGCACCCCTGGGCGAGAGCTGGGAGCAAACCCGGAAAAGCAGGGCCTCTGCCCACCCCAGGGTCCAGCTGTCAGTCAAGCTCCTGCACGGGACATCTGAGAGGGGCCTTCCCGTGGCGGCTGCAGCTGGAAGTGCGGTGACCTCTGAAACAAGAGCCGGAATCCCTGCTGCGGCTTCCTCCTGCTGGAGCGCAACTGGGTGGAGAGGAAACAGGGACCAAACCCGCAAAGTCTCTGTTGCTTTGTGCTTTTAAAGAGGGTGGCAAATTCAATGCCTCCACCAAGGATACGGACAGGGGGTAGAACAAAAGAGACTTCCTCCAAGCTGGAATGTGTCTGGTTTATCTCAAGCTAATATCAGTGCTCCCAGCAAGTATTTCCAAGCATGAAGCAAGCCAGTCATATGGGGAAGCGATAGGGAGGGGTGAGGACTGGAAAACCGGAACATGCTGTTCCTTACAAAAGGAAGCGGCCTTCACCGAGTTCCAGCCAACTGTGTGCACACAGATATACAGGCCCAGCATGGCGAGACTCCAGGCTCAAGGGAAGCAAGAAACCACATCTCAAATGATTTTAAAACATGAATAGGCCAACTACACGCGTCTGATGATTGCCCTGAAATCTAGCTGTGCCAAGGACCCGTGTGCTGTGGAGCAACCCACAGTTCTCCGTAGGAGGAAAGCCCCCAGGGTGCCCCAGGACCCAAGAAAGAGGCAGGCAGATTTCAAACTGCAGAGTGCCATCTCTTGGGAGAGTTACCCACTGGGCGGCAGTGAGAACAGGTGGATCTGCACCGTCTGGGTCAAAGGGAGGGCTGTGTATTAGTTAAGATGAAAGTGACTTCATTCAAACAGAATGGAGCTGGTCATCTGAAGCTAACATCAGCCGG